CAACTCTTCAAAAAAAGAAACCGTATTATGGTATTACTCATCTGCATGGAATTTTTATGTATTCTAGTAGTTTATTTTTGATACTGTATTGGTGTATTCCCGATCTGCGTTGGACCGATGCTTGATTTGTTCCTATTTTTGTTTCAGTACTAGTACAATGTAATGAATTCGTGCTTTCATGAAGTATTTTGCGCTATTTTTATCCGTCGAGCAATTTAGAAGACTTGTAGAGCATTTAACTAGACAGTTGAATTTGCATTTGCAACTATGCTTGCTTAGAGCAGCCCTTGACTGGTTATATTATTGCGATGGCCTGTGCTGTTCTTAGTTGTGCTACAGTATGTGTTTCGTGTTGTTTGCACTTGTTAGCCAAATCATTGCACACACAGTGTTAATGCGATGTTGCGGGTTTGTGACCTAGGATTTCAGCCGAATTCCTGTTTGTACAATGTATCTGCTACATGTTGTTTTCATCTTAATAGCTAGCAGCCTAGCACCATGAACGTTGATTGTGAAATCTCTATATGCTGTAAAATTAATTGGGGCAGTCTCGAACTTGTTGTGAATTGTAAGATGCTTTAAGTAAATGTTTTTTGCCTTCTTGCGTGTAGGCGGTCAGGCGAGACAGCAAATAGAGGTTCAGTCTATTGGAGGAGTATGGCGAGCTGCTGATTCGGGCTAACCAGGGGCACACTGTGGCAGTATGTTTTCTACCTGAACTCCCCTGCACTAATGTATTCTGTTTTTACAAGATTTAAGATGTCTTTATACTCTTCATGATCATCTGCCATGTAGTAATCATTATTTTTTGTAACTTCTAAAAGCATTGTACTAGCTGAATTGTTATCATTCTGAAGAACTTGGCCTTTTTATTGAATGGTCTCTTCATAATATATTGGCTCCAGTTTTCTTATTCTTCTCTGCTGATTCATGTAACAGGGCGACCGTATTAGCTCAGTCCTGACTATGAGCAGGAGCAGGTGCATTTTCCTGTTTGTAATGCTATGAAGGAGCTCCATCCTGAAGAATATAGTGCTTGTAGAGCTTGTAAATTAGTTACTCCACTTGTAGAGTTATTTGTAGAGCAGGAGCACCATTGTATTACGTGTTATTTGTAGAGCAGGAGCTCCATACAGAATTTGGCTCTATACTGAATCTGGCTGTTGTTATTTGAAGTATTATATGTGTTTTTTGTCAGTGCCAATAATATTGGTTATTTATTTACTATCAGAATGAAATGAGGAATATGGCCCTGACAAGTTGGACCCACTTACACCTGACAACTTAGACCCACTTATCAGAACATGATAACTGAGATCCATCTGACTAGTGGACCCATGATACATATAAAAAACATGAGAGGCCCAGCAAAGGAATGGCCCAGAAAATACATGATCAAAAAAATCTGCTGTTAAAAGGGCCACGCAAAGAAATCAATAAGGCTGAATTGTTGGGCCAGACCCATGTAGCTAATAAAAGCACAGGAAAAAAAATACATTAAAAATACCAAATTGTTGGGCTAGGCCCATGTAGAAAATCGAATTGGATCGGGCTGAATCTTGTGCCACATCAGCTTGCCACACTGGATGCCTACGTGGACCGGGGAGATTGCTAATGACCAAAACGCCACAGTAGACATATTTTGGTCATAAACGTCCACGACCATTTCAGAAGAAAGGTCGCTATAGTCAGTTTACGTCGGCCGGCTTTTGACCTTCTGGTTTTGGTCACAAAAAGGTCACAAATGGAAAACTGTGACCATTTAGTGACCAATAGTGGTGGTCACAAGTTGACATATTTCTTGTAGTGTATACAAAAAATTGGGGCCCTCAAAATTTATGGGCCCTATGAAGGCCGCACAATCGACATAACTATGGGCCCGGCCCTGGGTTAGAGATTCCCTAATGCGGAGTGCTAGCGAAAAACAACCGGCAAAGCCTAAGTTTGAAAGAAAAAGCACTCGACAAAGGGCGATGCTAGACGCCAACGCACCGGCCAAAAGTTTCGGCCGGTCCTGCCCCAGCCCTTGGATGCGAGCCCCCGTGACCACTGGATGCTAGGCGCAAAAAAAAACGATTCGTCATTGGCTTCTTCTACCTTGGCTTAGATCTGCAGCTCCTCCTCGGTGTCCTTGTCGCCGTGCCTCCAGTCCCCTCTGGTGGCCGTCCTCGTCGCCGGTCTCCGTCCTCATCGCCGGCTCGCGGCCCTCGCCTCGGTCACCGGTCGCCGTCCTTGTTGCCGCCAGGTCGCCGTCCTTGCCCCCGCTTGCCGATCTCCGTCCTTGTTGCCGCCCGATCGTCGTCCTCTCCCCCGGTCGCCGTCCTCGTCGCCCACGGTCGCCGTCCGTGCGGCCCCTGGTCGCCGGTCGCTGTCCTCGTTGCCACCAGTCGTTTGCCCGGCTCCCCTGGTAGAAGCTTTTTTGTCATTACCGCTTGAAGCTTTTTCTCCTGGCGATTGAAGCTTTTTCATTGCCGTTTGAAGCTTTTTCCACCATTGAAGCTTTTCGCACATATAATTGAAGCTTTCTCTACAACGGATGCAACTTTTCTGATTATGCAATGTATGGTTGTAGCTTTCTCTTTCAATGGTTGCAGCTTTTTTCATCTACGGTTGAAACTTTTCTATCAACGGTTGCAGCTATTTTTCTTTGTAGCAGTCTTGGTTAATGTTTTCTCTATCGTTTCGGTTGAAGCTTTTTTCATCAAGGGTTGTAGCATTTTATGTCAATGGTTGTAGCATTCCGCCATGGCAATGACTGCTCGCAGCTGTTCATATATCTGGTTGAAGCTTTTTTCATCTTGTTTGAAGCTTTTTGGTTAGCGGTTGTAGCATTTAGCTGTACTGTTTGCAGCTCCTCCTGCACCATTTGCGACCTCCTCTCTCTCTCTCTCTCTCTCTCTCTCTCTCTCTCTCTCTCTCTCTCGTCCCAGCAAAACAAAAGGGCGATTGTAGCATTTTGTAACACTGGTTGCAGCTCCATCGACTGTCGTTTGTAGCTCATGCGCGGCGCACTGTCGTCATTTAAATGGTTCCAGCAAAAAAGAAGCTGTTTGTAGCATTTGATTGCAGCTCTGACGAGGGTCGTTGAGGGTGCGGGGCTGAGAGAGGGAAAAAGGGAGGGAGGAGGTGCTAGTTATCGATGTCTTCTCCTCCCTGCCATGGCTCGCCCTATGAGCAAGTCCTCGTTCACGCCGGTGTGCTGCATGTGAGCCTGAAGATGGAGGAACTGAGCGGTTATGGCAGCTTTTAGTGCGCGTCGTGAGGTAGAAGAAAGGGGTAGGTGGAAAAACGGTTCGTACGGGAAAAGGGGAAAGATCGAGGCCTGGGAACGCACGATCCCACTTGATCGCAAGGCCCGCGTGCGACCGGCGCAAGTTTCGGCCGGCGCACCGGGTAGAAACGTTTCCCCTCGACAAACCACGGTACTCACCAAAGTCAACATATGCGAGTGTGTTTCAGAAGGACACTTGACAAACAAGGTGAGTACACCTTTGCCGAGTGCCTGACAAACAACACTTGGCAAAGCAACTTTTTTTTGCTTTCTTTGCTTTATTAACAACTTTGTATTAAATTAGGGACAATTATTTGGGGACGGAGAAAGTACTTTTTTATCTGTTATTCCGGGCATTTTTCTTTCTTCCATGGTCAGGTTTGGAACCGAAGCAACCGCCGGTTCGTCTGTTAAGCATGTATATTTTCTTCACACTCAACACTCATCATTATATTTTAGAATTTCCGGTGATGCTCGTTCAGCGGGAGGAGTACTCGGCAAAGCAATTTTTTTGCTTTCTTTTATTTTCTTTTCTTTTCTGTGCCTTATGAACAATTTAGTATTAAATCAGCGGCACTTATTTTGAGATGAAGGGAGTAGTATTTTCTCTGCTTTGCTTTCTTCTCTTTCATTTTTTTTCTTCCCGGCTCAGGTTTCGAACCGAAGCAACCGTTGGTTCATTTATTAGGCTTGTATTTTTTTTCACACTCAACGCTCATCATTATATGTAACATGTCAATTTTCGATATTTTCTGAAGCATCAAGCATGTTTGCAATATTTATTACCGTGCACCACTCTGCCTTTCCTCGACCGCCCATACCATCGTGCTTGGAGGCCGCCCAAGGAACACCGCAACTCGCTGCTGCTCGCAACATTATCCCCGTCTCCGGTGAGGTTCTGGCCTGGCTTCGCCCTAACCGACGATCATCGCCGTCGCTTCACAAGTGGTCACCACTTTCAGTCTCGCTACGAAATCAGCTGACGGCAGAAAAAATCCTAGGCACGTGAAATTTAGCAAACACCATGTAAATAAGATTCGCGGGCATGACGTAGTTTGTATTAAAATATTGCGAACCAATATGTGTTTGGATGGTTACATGGGAGTGGTATTTCCAGTACACAGTGTCCAAGTCCTGGTGCTCTCATTTATTTTTGAATTTATTTTAGAATTTCCGGTGGATGTATGTACTTATAGAAATGAACGTATCTATAAGATGTGCGTGTATGTATTTATAGAAATGAACGTATCTATAAACGCATGTGTCTATATTCTATTAAAAAGAAGTTTTTAGAAAGATTTATCGGATGTAGCGGCCCGTGACGGAGCAAACCCGTCCTTATCGGCTCGGCGAGCAGGACGAGGCGAGTGCGTGGCCTGGTTAAGTGTCGGCCAGCGACCGACCGTGCGTTGATCAGTTAGCTGTAGTCAGCGCATAGGCGTTCGAGTTTCAAAGAAGAAAAAAAGGCGCATAGGGCTTCGGTTTTTGGCCGGTGGGTGCGCGCCAGATGCATGCGTTGCATGCGCCCCACGTGGCCACGCCATGAATGACCGCAGTTAACAAATGCTCTGGCTCAGAACTCGGGGCCCGCGATCGCCGGGCCATGCCACAAGATCGTCTCCACCGTCGCTTCGCCGTTGGTCCGGCGGGGCTACCATATACTCCATCTAGTCGACGTGAACGCCACACCACCACCATCTTCAGCTTAACTAGCTACAGTTAATCAGCCATGACGAGACGAGCTGCAGCCATCCTGGTGCTGATGCTCTCGCTCCCGGCGGCGGCCCTCCTCGTCGCCACCATCCGCCTCCCTAGCGACGGCGCGGCGAAGGTGACGCCACAACTTTTGAATTTCTGCTTGTTCATTTATATTACTGAGCACGTAGGTCCTTCGTTCAGGTCTCGCAACAAGCAAGGGAGGCAAGGAGCAGACACTTCCACTGCCTGACAAAGTAGTGGTGCCGTCGGAGGCGTCCTCGAGGAAGATGAGAGGCCGTGGGCGTGCTGCAACAGCACCGTGTGCGCCAAGTTCATGCCGCCGACGTGCCGGTGCCTGGACGAGGTGGAGGAGTGCGCCGCCGCGTGCAAGCGCTGCGAGCCGTCCGGATTCAACCCGGCCTTCCACGTCTGCAACGACCAGTACCACGGCGACCCAGGCCCGACGTGCGCCAAGGAGGAGAGGCCGTGGACGTGCTGCGACCGGACAGTGTGCACCAAGTCGTTCCCGCCGACGTGCCGCTGCCTGGACGAGGTGGCGGAGTGCGCCCCCACATGCAAGCGCTGTGAGCCGTTCGGGATCAACCCCAACCGCCACGTCTGCAACGACCAGTACCACGGCGATCCCGGGCCCAAGTGCGGCAAGGACGACGACGACGACGACACCAGCGGCTCTCCATCCCTCGCCGCCGCCACACAGATGCAGTTGCTTGCTGCTGGTTTCTCTCATCTTGTTGTTTATCCAGAGTCCTTAGATGTCTGCGTGTACTAGCATCGCATCATGGTACGTGAGATGACGCGTTCTTCACCGATCGTGCCTCACGTAATAAGACTAGAAATGTTAGGCCGTGTCGAATAAGAAAAGAAGAAAAAGTCTCATGTCAGTATGTGTTTTTATTTAAACATAGCATAGACGCAAATGCTCATATATATGGACATATACACATCCCTATATACATACACATAGGCCCGGTCCTTATGAGTACCTTCAAAAGATTGAACCGACATATCATCTTGAAATTGACGAAGCCACCACAAGCGTCTCGTAGTTGACGGGAAAGTCTCCTGACCTTCAACTGAAGCGCATCATCGAAATTTCTCAAATCCTCTCACTAAACTGCGTGTGTTCTCCGCCCACAAAAAAAATAGTACGTTGTGTTAAGCAACTGTGTTAGAGTTCGTCCGATCACCATAATAATCGCAATTATAGTGATTTTGACAAAAATGACGCTCTAGCAGATTCGCCCTCTCGTTAGAGCATCTCCAGCCGCGCCCCCAGAACGGCCTTTTCAAGTGATTTTTTCGCGTCGGCGCCGAAAAAACGCCCGAGCCGCGCCCCAGGAGCCCGATTTTCGCCGGTCTGGGCCGAAATCAGCGCCGGCGGACCCAGGCCGAACCCGGCGTGCTGGCGGCACCCGGGGGCGCCGGGGCGAGTGGTTTTGGCGTGAAGTAACCGCGGACCCACCGAGTCAGCGAGATGGGCGTTTCGTCGTCCTCATCGCCTCGGTTCCCGCGGGAATAAATGCCAAGGTTGCCGCGCTGCCGCCGCCGGTCAGCTTTGCCATTGATTCCTCATGGGCGGCGCGTCACGGGGCGGCGCGGCGACGCCTCCCCTCCCGCCATGCATACACACGGGGCACGGCTATTTAAGCCAGTGGCCTCCCTCGCCTCTGGCCACACCATCCCTCGCCGCCGAGTTCTCCCTCTCCCGTGCGCAGCTAAGCCCTCCCTCTCCCTCTCCCGTGCGCCACGAACGAGCCCTCCAACTCCCTCTCTCGTGCGCCACCGCCGAGCCCCCCCTCTCCCTCTCCCGCACGCCCGATGGCCGCACATTTCCCCGGCGACGCTACGGCGGCCAATGGCTTCGGCCGCCGCTCGCTCCGCGAACTGGAGTCGTGGCTCCTATTCGAGGCCAACATCCTGGCGCCGCCGGACATGCGCGACGGGCCGACGGGATGGAGTCTCAGCAATGGGGGAGTGCCCGTTCCCCCGTTGCCCAACACCGTGGCGCACCTGGCCTACTTCGCCACCGAGATCGAGCTCGTGCGCGCCTCCCTCACCGACGAGCGGCTCGCCCTTCCCCAGTACGCCGCCGACAACCACGCGGCGTGGGCGGCGTACTTCGAGCACCGTCAGGAGCAGCGGCTGGCGTCCACCAACGGGGCACCGGTGGTGGGCGGCACGAAGAACAGCGACGGGCGCCGCATGTGGTGGGGCGTCCCCAACCGTACGCTTGAGGGCTTGCTGGCGGACCTTGAGGGCGGCAACGACCCGCCGCTGGCATACCCTCCCCCGGCCGCCCCGGCACACCGCCGACGCGCCGGGCAATGGATGCCTAGGAGGTTCATCACTTCCTCGTCTTCCTCCTCCCACTCCTCGTCGCGATCTTTTTCCCACTCCTCTGGCTCTTCGACGCTGCTCGGCGTAAAGGCCGAACCCGTGGCGGAGACGCTGCTTGGCCGGCGCACTCGCAGCGCCGGCATCGTCATCAACGAGGACGGCCGGCGCGCCTCCTTGTCGGCTCCTCCGCGCTTCGTCAAGCCAAAGACGGAGCCGGGGCTCGCGCGGTGAAAACGGAGCCGGGGCTCCCCGCCGTGAAGATGGAGCCCGGCACGTGGAGCTCGACGACGACGCTGCCCTGAAATGGGCGCGCAAGGACTTCGTGAGGATGGAGCGGGAGCGACAGATCGCCGCCCTGCGGTGCTTCGAGCAACGCCGCCGGGGCCGCGACGAAGGAGTCGTCGTCGTCCTCGATGACAGCGACGACGACGACGCGCCGCCGCCGCCGCCACTAGTCCGCCATGGCGACGCCGGGCAGGGGTCCAGCAGGGACGGCCGCGTCAAGGAGGAGAAGGCCGCCGCCGACGACGGCGGCGGCGAGGATGGCGGCGGCGACGGCGACTACTCCGCTTTCAGTGATTTTTTTAGTTATATTTGCTATGTAACGCGTCACGAACAATATATGTCAAAGTTTGCCGAAAATTTAGCCGTGTAACAAACTTCGCCGAACTTGTTTTTTCTTAAAAATCAGACGCGCCTGGGGGCGGCCCTGGGGCCGGCGACTGGGGGCCAATTCGCCCCCAGAATGTTTTTTTGCGCCGGCTCGCACCCAAACGGCTATTTTAGGCGCCCCCGAGAGGCCAACGGCTGGAGATGCTCTTAGGGATCACCATAATGTGGTCCTTCATATATAGCCTCCCAGCAATCATTTATGGCGTCTTGAGGCTGGATTGTAGTTGCATGTAGTTTACACATCGTGGGAAGGAAACTTTCGATGGTCCAATCTCACATGGGATGGTTGGGAGGTTAGGCTGGCCATAGCGGGAGTATCATATAGTAGTATCATGCATATGATACTAATGTATAATACTACATCATAGTGCATAGTATCATAGATTAGTATCATATATTGTCTCATTTATTGCTATGCAAGACACATAGTAGCATAAAATTTATTATGATACAATATCTTCCTATGTTACTATAACACTCTCTCTTCTCTAATTGTCTACCACATACGTGTCCCAAGTGTATGATACCGGTTATGTTATCTCCACTATGGCCAACCTTAGGGAAAAATATGTGACATTCATAAATGGGTCCCATGATTATGAAGGCAGCAAATACGAAGATGTTAACTAAAATAAAAACAAAGACTCTAAGGTTGCATGATGCATCTCAAGCCTCTATAATTTTTTGAAGTGCACAACATACCAATTATGGAGGCTACTCTTTCGCAACTAAGCTAGAGTTGCTCTTACATATACATGATGGATCCTTTGTGATATCTATAGGTGTATTTTGTCGATCTTAGAATGCTTCACAAGGCCCTCTCCGTCGTCTCCCATGTGGATGGGGGAGAACTGGGGAGGGGGGGGGGGGATTCTGCTGCGGTACGGGTAATTTTTCTTCATCCTTTGAAGTCTCTCTCTCGGGAGATGGAAGGCAAGGAGATGGAGAGCGGGCGGACCTAGAATGGTGGTTCGATTCAACTGCTTCTCTGGTGGAGAAGTTGCGGTTGCTCTAGCTGCTCGAGCTCATTATCGGTACCCCTTGGCGATAGAAGGCAAATCAGCATCTCTCCGCCCCTGGTTCTTGTTGCCAAAAGGCGACTGTTCAAAGCTCCGACGTGAAGTGCTCTTCATCCGCAAGGGTTAACTGCCTCCCATTCTTCTTACCTGCTAGATGGAGGCCAATAAGAAGGCAGTGGTGCTTCAATTCAATATATGTTTCCACCACCTCCAGGAAGTTCTAGTGCCCATGCTACAGCCATCTTGTTATCCGAGGGGGTATGGTCACCGGCAACGACAGATGGATGTTGTGCTAAAGCTTTGTGGCAGGACAAGGGTCCAATTGCAATCTATGTTTATTGTTTCACTAATAGAAAAAGGGGCATCAGTCCCCGTTCATAAGGGCCTTTAGTCCCGGTTCTTGAACCGGGACTAAAGGGTCGTGACTAATGCCTCCCCCTTTAGTCTTGGTTCTAACATGAACCGGGACTAAAAGCCCTTCACGTGGCCACTACGAGCTGCCCAGGCAAGGGGGCCTTTGGTCCCGGTTGGTGACATGAACCGGGACCAAAAGGCTTCCACGTGTCAGCAGCTGAGGTTTTTTTTTTAAAAAAAAAAGTGGCTGGTGTAAGGGTTTTGGGGGTTAATTTTAGGTTGTTATTAGCTAGCTAATAGAGAGAAGTGTCCTCTCTTATACTGCTATATTCATTTCACCCGCTGATATATAATAACTCATGCATGCTCGCATCATACATCATCATATATAATAACAAGTCCTACTAATCATGCATCATCATACAACTTCTACTCGTTATTAATAACAAGTCATACGATCATCATCCTCATAGTCATCGAACCCAACCCTACATAACTGTTCTTAGCACATGATCATCAGTATCAGGTAGGACCTAAACACCCTTAAGGTAAAATAGCATAAAACAATATAGACCCTGACTCTCTATTATGAAGAATGGAGATCATCATGTCTCCAATTCTTGCGCTTCGCCTCCTTTTGCTTGCAAGAAGCTCCTTATGACTGTCCATATATTTTTTCCATTCTTTGATTGTCATGTCTCCACTTCTTTTAGAAATCCGGTATGGACAATTGAGATTCGTAGGACGACCTGGTTGTATGTTCAAAATATCAAGGCGACCGTGCGTATACATCAGATGAGGCACACAATCATTCGGGATTATCTGTTGAAAAACATAGTAATAACTTCATAGTTAGTAATGATGTACTAGTTCTAGAAGTATTTAAAAAAAGATGCAACGATGTCGTAATAGTAGAAAATCTTACCAGGGTATCTCCATGGTAGTTACCGTAGTTCAACACGTGCACTAGTGGCACGTATTGACCATAATGTTGAGGAGTTCGATTGTAGACATTGTAATTCTCAAGATCAGTACAAAATGCGATCACATGATTTTTCTCCCTATAAGTTAATTCGAAGCCATCGGTGTAGTGGGTTTTGTCTACCATTTTCCGCACATTCTTTGAAGAATGAAAATAAGCTGTCAATGGAAACAAGTTGTCAACTATTTTGAAATAAACAATGTAAATTACTTAATAACTATGTTAAGCTCATAAGGGGGAAGAATTGGAGGTGTATCCACAAGGACCCAAATGCCCATATTGTCTTGTTGGATTGTAGGATCACCAAGATTCATGGTGACAAGCATACCCTCATCAAAACCATACATCTAGCAAAGTGCTTTCCAATTTTTGCAACCAAAATGGGTTA